GCCCCGCCCCGCCCCGGTAGGCCCGGCCCGGGAAGGGGGGGTCTCTCCAGAGGTGCATCCCCCCCCCCTCCCCACACACCTCCCCCCTCGCTGCCGCGGCCGTGGGGAAGCCGCGGCTGACCCGGGACCGTGGGGTCCGGGCTGAACCCCTGGCACGGGGTGTTCTGCTGCGCGGGTTGTACACACCGTACACCTGCACACACCTGCACACCTGCACACACTGTACACCTGAACACACTGTACACCTGCACACACCTGCACACCTGTACACTTGCACATCTGTACACTTGCACATCTGTACACACCTGCACACCTGAACACACTGTACAACCCGCACACCTGAAAACACTGCACGCACACCTGCACACAACTGCACACACTGTACACACTGCACACCTGGACACCCTGCACTCACTGTACACACTGGACACCTGGACACACTGCAGCCCCTGCACACGCAGCACACCTGAGCCTGCACACGCAGCACACACCCCGCACGCCGTGTGTGCACCGCACGCTGCCTGTGCACGGTACACCCCGAACACCCCCCGCACAGCCCGCCCGCACACAACCCGCTGCACACCCCGCACACACCCCCCGCCCCTGCCCCGCGCTCGGGGCACCGCGACCCTCCCCGGGGCTGCGGCGGGTCCCCCCCGGGCCCGGGTCCTCTCGTTCAGCACCGCGAACAGCTCCCGCCGGGCCGGGCCGGGCCGAACCGGGCCGGGACCCTCCGGTCCCTGGCCGAGCTCCGAGGGGGCGGCCGCAGCCCCCTCTGGGAGCATCGGGGGCTCCGGACCCCCGCGGGGTGCCGGCAGTCCCAGGTACCCCGGGACCCCCTCTCTCCCCAGCAGGGACAGGGAAACTCCCCGGGCTTCGAGGAACCGGCGCGGGGGAAGAGTCCCGGGGGGCGCACGGCTTCGCCTTCCTCCCCCTTCTCCTCCTCCTTCTCCTACTCCTCCTCCTCCCCGGGGGAGGGCTCCCCGCCAGCCGCCCTTCCCGCAGCCCCTCCCGGCCGGGCCTTCCCGCTTCTCCCGGCCATGAATTATTCAGCCCCGCGTGGGAAAGCCGGGCCGCGGGGACCCTCTGGGGCTGCGCGCCCCTGGATGTGCGGGGTCAGGGGAGGACTCATCCTCACCCCCTCCTCCTCCTTCTCCCCACCGGCCGCCCCCTCCAAAGCGGAGCCCCCAAACCTCTGCATTGCGGGGAGGGGGGGATGTGGGGGGGAGCCCGCACCCCTTTCTCTTTATCGCGGGGGTTTAAGGGGGGGGTCCCGTGGGTGGCGTGAGCCCGGGTTTGAGGTGGGCAGGGGGGTTTGAAGCGGGGCGTGGGCCGGGGTGGCGGTGGGTGAGGGTGGGTGGGGGTGAGGGCCCTGTTTTTTTATGAATGAGCTGCGATTACTATGCGGCGCGCGCGCGCCCGCGCTGCCTGTGCGGGCGCTGATTGGCCCGTCGGCGGCATTGACGTCACGGCGGGGTGAGCGGGGTTTTGGGGGGGGCGGCGGTGAGTCACCCCCCGAACCCCCCCCGAGCCCCCCCGGCCGGGCTCGGCCACTATAACTCGGCGGCGCCCATGGCAGCGGCCCCCCAGCCGGGCAGCCCAGCACAGCCCGGGCCCCGGCCCCGCAGCATCCCGGCAGGTGAGTGCCTGGCACCGCGGGGGGGGCACCGGGAGGGGGGGGAGCCCGCAGGGCGAAGGGGAGGGCGGCGAGGAGCGGCCGTGCCCCCCCACACCCCGTCCAGGGGCTGTGCTGCCTGCCCAGGGAGGGGTAGACCCCCCAAGGCAAGTGGGGATCCCCTGGTTGGGGGGTGCATGGGGGGGCTGGGGAGGTGTCTCTGCCCGCTGGGGTGCTGGTCTGGGGGGGAAGGGTTACCCCCTTCACCTGCTGCTTGAGATACCCTCGGTTTGGCCCTGAAGTATTTGCTGGGGAAGGGTTTCCAGTGCCAGTCCTGCTCCCCCAGGATTTACCCACCAAAATCATGCAGTGCCCAACCCCCAGGCAGGCAGGAGCAGGGGGGTCGTGTGTGTGTCCCTGCCCTTTATTCACCTGTTTATTTTAAAACCAAACCACCTCATCCCAAGAAATCCCCTTGGAGCAAACAGCGAGCCCCCCCTCAGACACACACAGCTCTGCCCCCCCCCTGCTGTAGACAACTTTTGGGGGGAAGCAGGACTTCCCCCAGCTGAGTGGCACAGGGAGGGCTCGTGAGGGCAGCAGGTGCTGAGGGGGTTGCTTTTGCTTTCAGCTGCAGCAGGTCACCCTCCGCCACCATGATGGAGAAAGGGCCCCCCAACTCCAGCGAAGGCCAGCAGGGCTGGTTTTCTGCCAGGAATGGCAGCGGCAGCTCCCTGGACCTGGAGTCTGTGGTGCGACCCCTGGCCTTGAACCCGTGGGACGTCGTGCTCTGCGTCTCCGGGACCATCATCTCCTGCGAGAACGCCATCGTGGTGGTGGTCATCTTCTACACGCCGGCCTTCCGCGCCCCCATGTTCCTCCTCATCGGCAGCTTGGCCACGGCCGACCTCCTGGCGGGTTTGGGGTTGATCCTGCACTTTGCCTTCGTCTACTTCGCGCCGTCGGAGGCGGTCAGCCTGCTCACGGTGGGGCTGCTGGTCACCTCCTTCACGGCCAGCGTCTGCAGCCTGCTGACCATCACCATCGACCGCTACCTGTCCCTCTACAACGCCCTGACCTACTACTCGGAGAGGACGGTCACCAGGACTTACATCATGCTGATCCTCACCTGGGGAGCCTCCATCTGCTACGGGCTCCTGCCCGTCATGGGCTGGAACTGCCTGAAGGAGCCGCCCGCCTGCAGCGTCGTCAGGCCGCTGACGAAGAACCACCTCATCATCCTCTCCGTGTCCTTCTTCGCGGTGTTCGCGGCGATGCTCCAGCTGTACGTGCAGATCTGCCGGATCGTGTGCCGGCACGCCCACCAGATCGCCGTGCAGAGACACTTCCTGGCCAGCTCCCACTACGTCACCACCAGGAAAGGCATCGCCACCCTGGCCGTCATCCTGGGCACCTTCGCGTCCTGCTGGCTGCCCTTCGCCGTCTACTGCCTGCTGGGGGACTACACCTACCCGGCCCTCTACACCTACGCCACCCTCCTCCCCGCCACCTACAACTCCATGCTCAACCCGGTCATCTACGCCTTCAGGAACCAGGAGATCCAGAAAGTGCTGTGGGCCGTGTGCTGCGGCTGCTTCTCCCCCACGCTGCCCTTCCGCTCCCGCTCCCCCAGCGACGTCTGATGTGTGTCCCCCCCGTCCACCTCCCTGCACCTTCCACTCACCGGCTGCAGTCGGGGGGATCCGCTTTTATTCCCCCTTCTCATTCCCAGAGGCAACGGTTGCAGGAGCTCTTGGAACCAGGCAGCTCTTCCCAGCCTCGTCCTTTTCGGGCACAACCCCTTCTTGGCCTCTATTTTTCCACTTTTTGAATGTACAGGAGAGAAAAGCGTATTTTTTATCCGTAATATAATCTATATTTATGTGTGAGAGAGAGACACAGAGAGAGGGGGGAGATCCTCATATTTTCTTTAAAACTATTTACGATCCTTTATTTTTTTAAGGGGGGGCAACACCAGGAACGTTCACCCCCATCTTGGTTTTTTTACAACCTCATTATTTACCTCAGATAGTTAAAATATATTTTGTACGTTTGGGGAAGGGGGGAAGAGACTCACTGCCAGAGGAGGAGGGATTCAAACCCTCCCCTCCCACCTTCTCCCAGCTGTCCATCCATTGCTTTATTTATTGTTTTTTTAATTATTATTTAATTTGATTTCTGTGCCTCCCTCCCGCCCAGCGCTGGGCCCTGCTGCCCTCTAGTGCTCGCTGCCTTCGGGAGGAGGGGGCTGCCGGAGGCTCCGCACCCCCAAACCCAGCAGTTTTGGGGTCCTCTGGGTGCTGCCACCCCCCTCCTGGCAGCCAGAGCTCCCCCCCCCTCCAAAGCCTTTCTTTGCACTGGGGCTGGATTTGCACATTTTGGAGGGGGGGGATAGATGTGAAGAGGCCTCTTGTGATGGGGCCCCTCTGGATGGGGATCTCTTGGGATGGGGGATCCCTCAGGATGGGGAACCCTCGGGATGGGGACCCCTCGGGCCGAGGTGAGGGTGGAGGGGGCTGCTTCTTGTTTACAACCGTGGGAGGGGAATAAATTAATTTGTGATACGAGGTGCGGCTGTTTGATGCTGGGGAGGGGGTGGGCTGGTGTTCCCCGAGGAGAGAGGGCAGGCTGAGGTCCCCGAGTCCCGTCAGGGCCGTCTCCCCGCTCCGTTTCCCTGCTCCCGGACAAGAGATGCCAAGCGACAGCGCTTCCCCCACCCATCACATCCTGTTAGCAGGAGCCGGCCCGGGGGGGCGGGCCCTGACCATCCTCATCCTCACAGCGCCCAGCGGGCAGAGGGGCTGCACCCGCTCTCCCGGTGACATCTGATGTGTGTCCCCCTCCAGGCACGGCGAGGACTCATTCCCGGGGGTGTGTGTGTGTGTGTCCACCCGAGGTGCCGCGAGCCGGGCCCTCCATCCATTGGGATGCTGTCACTGCCTCCATCACTGCGCTCCAGCCCCTCTCCTGGGGGTCTCTGCATGGGGGGCACCCCCACACTGAGGCTCCCGTGCTCCAAGAGCCACTGCTCACACAGGGTGTGGGACACCCGTCCTTGCTGCCCGTGCTCCTGCTCGTCTCAGGGAAGGAAGGGTTAACGATGGCACAGCTAATTAGGGCAGCTCAGCCCCTCTGGTGTCAGGACTCTGCACCCCCAGAGCCCCCCGTGTCCCTGCCCACCCCGGTCAGGGAGCAGCAGGTTTCTCACAGGCATTTGTGCATCCGCAGACGCGCCGGGATGTGGCAGAGCCCGGGGCTGAGGAGCAGCCGGGGCCGGCTGGTGCTGTGGGAGGAGTGTCGGCCCCCCCCCGAGGCTCCACTTCACCTTGGGCTCGGGGACCTGGTGGCAGCCCGGGGGGTTGGTGCTGTTTATTGCAAAGGAAATAAAGATTTCCTTCGGCTCGGTGCTGGAAAGGGGCTGTGGCAGCAAGTGATGAGGGGAAATGGGGTTGGAGAGAGGCTGAAGGACCCACAGATCGTCTCTCCTGCTCTCCCAGGGCTGGGCTCAGTGTTGTGGATGGGGAATTTGGGGCTCTGCTTGTCCCCAGGGAGGTTAAGACAGGGGCTGGAGATGCTCATTGTACCCCAGGGCCCTCCATCCCTCAGCCAGGGGATAATTCCCAAGCCCACCTCCCCCAGCAGTGAAAAATCCTGTAATTCACAGCCCTGCTGCGTTCAGGAGCAGTTCATACCTGGTGGTTCTTATGTCAACATCACATGGCAGCTGAAACAGCTTCTCTCTCTCCCTCGTGCCTCCCCTGCTGATGTCTTCAGAGGGAGCTTCTCCGTGGTGTGCAAGCCCATCCAGTCCCTCCCGCTCCCCGGGGTCCCTGTCACCTTCCCTGGGGACAGGGTGACACGCCAGGGTGTGCAGGGCACAAAGGCAGCACCATTCAGGTCTGCTGGGACCCCCCTCAGGCTCCCACCCCCCCACAGCCAGCAGTGGGGTGGGCACAGGGCTGCAGCTCCCCCTTCCCAGATCCTGGCAGGGCAGTGCTGGAGCTGGTGGGCTTCCAAGATGGATGGGAGTCTGATTTCTCCTGAGTCCTGGGAGTGACCCATAGTGACAAAAGCCACCACAACCCAGGCCAAGGGGTTCTCCCCATGGCCAGCAATTTGGGAGCTGTTGGTGCTGAAGCCCTTGAGTCCTTTTCCCCCCAGCCACTGGTGCCCCGAAAACGTCACCCTCACAGCCCTGTCCCCTGGTGCCACCAGCCACCAGGGTGGCCATCACCCAGCACGTGGCTGCTCCATGTGCCCCTTCCTGCGTGGGAAACACACCCTGTGCCTCCTACCTGTGTCCGATTCCCTGCTGCCAGGATGGATGAGGGAAGCTGAGGCTGAGCACGGGGCTGGAGGAGCTACCACCCCTCGAGCCTGCTGTTGCTGGTCCTTCTCCCAGCACTCCAGCCAGTCCAGAGGCATTCCCAGCTGCTCCAGGCCTTTGGGGGATGATGGAGCAGGCAGCAGCAGGCAGGGAAGTACAGCCTGCAGCAGCATGGCCCAGCCTGCTCCCTTTTTTGGTGGAGAAAGACGCAGAAAGTGGAGCTATAAAAAAGAGTCAAACCCATCCAAGAAGGCGCCTGAGTGCTGAGCAGCCACCCCCACGCTGGGGATGAGCAGGAGGGGCTCGGGGGGGACCAACAGCCCAACTTTGGGGTTAAAACATGAGCTGAGAGATGTGGGCACGGTGTCACCCCAACTGTGCTCACACATCTGGCAGGGCCAGCCCTCCCCAGGCTCCCAGCAGATGCCGTAAGCACAGCCAGCTCTTGCCTCCAAGCCCTGCCCATGCTGCAGTGCAGGCAGGGGACTGGGGTGGGATTTGTTTCCTGTCTCCAGTGTGGGCAGCCCTGGTCCTGTTGGCAGCAGCAGGGCTCAGATCTGGCTCCAAGGACCTGCCCTTGGCCACTTTGCAGGTGAGAGCGCTGGCAGCACCCACGGCAGAGCCAGGGCTGGTCCCAAAGCACCCACTACGGAGCCTCCACTCCAGCCCTGGTGCCAGTTTCACCAGACAGGAGGAGGGGAGGAGGTTGCTCCTACCCCAAAACCTCCCACCAGCATCCTGAACCCTGAGTGCCCTCCCTGGGGCAGAGCCAAGCGTTGCCCTTGCCCACACCTCATCCCAGGGATGGGTCTCTGTCCCAGTGCCTTACTGGGACACCCGTGACGGGATCACGATCCCCAACATCCTCCCTGCACCACCCTGGGTCCGCCGGGCCATGGGGAAGGGCTGGCAGCTCCAGTTATGGGCCTGGGTTACATTTAAATGAGAAACCTCAGCCCTGGCTTGGGGGATTTTGTTTCCTTGGAAGCAGGAGCAGGCAGGAAATGAAGAAAACACGGCCCCACTGTAAGCGTTTTACCAAATGCCGGAGGCAGCGGGAGGCATTTCCCGGCGCGGCTCAGCCTCGGAGCATCATCCCGGGCCACCACCGCAGCCGTGGCTCCGGGAGGCATGGGGTGGTGCTTCCCAGGGAGGAAAGTCTGTCTGAAAAGGTTGTGCTGTGTGGGAGACAGAGAAGTGCAGGGTGGAGAGGGGGTCAGTCAGTTTTATTCCCGCCGCAGCATCTGATGCAGAAGCGGCTTCGTGCCACGAGCCCTGGATGGGGCGCAGGGACCCGGGGCCAGCAGGACCCTCTGCTCCCCTTGGGAAGCTCCCAGAGGACCAGGCTCCCATGCTGGCTGAGGGCTGGGGCTTTGTCTGACTGGATGGGGAGGATAATTCCTCCCTGGCCACATCCCCAGCTCCGCGCCGGCTGCCTCGAGCCCTCGCCATGCCGGCGCTGGCCTTTGCGGAGCGGCTGAGCCCGGCGCAGAGCTGCTGCCCTGCCAGACTGCAGAAACTTGAGCTCCAAATAACATAATTCCTCTGGCACCCCGTGGTTATTTGTGAGCTGCTGTGAGCAGATGGAAGAGTTACAGATAAAGCCATCCGCAGCACGGGAGCCGATTGCCTTCCCCACACAACCGCGTAGGCAACGGCAAAGGCAGGGAGGAGGAGAGAAAAAAAACCACCAGGCAGCAAGAGGAGCGAGAGAGAAGGAGTCAGCCATTTCTGAGGGGCTGAGCTGCCATCTCAGCACACCTACGTGCGAGGAACGGGGACTCTCTGCTGGCAGCGGGCCCTTCCCATGATGCTGGAAGAGGGGAGTGCTCTCCCACCACCCATGGCTGCTTGGCCAGGGACAGCAGCGCGAGTCGGGGGTGACATTGGCACGGCGGAGCGCTGCCACACACTGGGAGAGCAGGCTGTTAACGCTGATCCGAGCTGGCAGCGCCTGCACTCGCTTCGGTCCCAGAGGGGGAATTAAGGGAGAGAAGCTGACGTCAGTGGTGGAAAGGACACGCAGCCCACTCGTCCAAGGCAGCCGGCAGCATCTTCTGGGTGTTGCTAACACCACCTTGAAGGAGAAAATTAAATAGGTCTTTGGAGACGGGGGCTCCTGTGAAGCCGCAGCCCGGCCAGCTGTGATCCGGTGCCGTGTGGAAGAGACAGACGGGCAAGGACAGAGATCAAAGGCCAGGGCCAAGGTTGGTGTGCCAAGGCACTGGAGCTGTGGAGAGGCTCCCCCAGCTGCGGCAGGAAACTGCAGCTCATGGGCAGGGCTGGGGCTCCGAGAGCACCGGCACACAATTCCCAACAATTCCCGTCTTCTCCCTGCACCAGGCACCAGCAGCTTCCCTGGAGAGTGGAAGAGTAGGGCCCTGTGGGTTACCCAGGAAGGCAGATCTGGGACTGAGTTCTCCCTGTGTTTTAGGGGGTTAAACCAGCACGACACTCACCAACACCCCCCAGACTCCAAAGATGACTTCCAAGGGCTGTCACCCCAAAAGCACAGGGCCACGTGCTACCGGGCACCCCAAAAAAGCAGAGGCACCACCTGGCCACAGCCACACCCATGCAGGGTGCCAGGAGCACCGGCTGCTCCTCCCGGCCTCGAGGCAGAGCCAAGAGCTGGGACACAGAGCTCCAGGGAGCGTGGAAGCCCCAGAGCTCCCTCCTTCCCCTGCCCTCCGCGCCCCAGCACGACTAAAGGCCTTGCTTGTTCAGGAGCTGGCAAGGCCAATTAATCTAATGAGGTTTTGCAGCCAGGGACTATTGTCAGCCAAGAAAGGCACAGCACTGCGGAGCGAGGCACCGGTGTCTCCGAAAGCCAAGGGAATTTGGCAGAGCAGAGCCCGCGGTAAAAGCAGGGACGAGGAGCAGCAGGGATGGAGCCTTTTGTTGCTCTTCAGTGACCGGGAAGAAAACGGAGCCACACGGAGCGAGGCCAGACGAGGCACCTGAGCTCGGGGCCAGGAGCCACCGCTGCCAGGCAGATTAACTGCACGAGGGACCTTGAGCTGCGAAATGGAGGCAAAAAGCCTCGGCAGCCCCCTCCCAGCCCAGCTGCAGCCACTCCACTCTGCAAGATGGAGCCCAGGCTCATTTCCTAGGGCAGGGAGCACTGGTGGGAGG